ATTGCTAAACTTGTATTCATGCACGCATGTATGTATGTATGCATGTATGTGTGGGATGTGTGTGATGTGTATGTGTGTGTGTGTGTGTGTGCGTGTGCGTGTGTGTTTGCATTATAAACGCTTGTACAGTTCCTTGATATTTATAATCATAATTAATTCTATAATCCTTAAATCTGAATCAATTGTAAAACAAGACGTTCTTGACTTGTTAATGATATGCCGGTGCTACATTACTATGGGTATTCATTATAAGAATTGATCTATAGAACTTGTACTTAAGGCTCGAGCCATTATATGACATTTAAACAATGAAGTATGACAACGTATATGTTATTTACATGTTTGTTACTACATTTTGATTTCAGACATTCGTTCATGCAAAAAACAAACTGTAAGATACGGAATGAGATTTGAACTAGAAATGACCATGGAATCCTATGGTTCCCATGGGATTCCCATGAAAATTGTAAAACCTAATTTTCGGTAATGGGACTTTTAGGAAACAGGAAATCGCTCTTTGGGAATTTGGAATGACGGACGGAATGGGGAAAAAAATTACATCTAAATACGAAAATTAAAGTCTACAATATATATTTTTATATGTACCTTTACTCGTACACATGTGACCGACGCATACACATAGGCCCACACGTGTGCCTTGACAAAGAAGATAACCATGTGAAATTACGTGAAATGAACAATTTATAATAGTATTTTATCACGGATATAAATATATATATATATCCAAATTATATCTTTGTATTCTATGTCAAAATTTTTGGCTTAAAAATTGTTTTCGTTTCTTTGTAGAGGTTGGAGTTCTTTGCTATGGCGTCCGTCCCAGTGTTTTTGGAGATTTTTTGTTAAATAAACTTCTTTAAATTCGTAAAAATTGTTCCTGATTAGTAAATTTGGCAAAATTTTGCAAATTTTTTAAAATATTTTGCCGATTTTGTTAAAAATGTTTGTCATGCATTGGTGACCATATACTAATTTAACAAATATTTTAAATATTTCCTTGGCTGTTTGTTGTAGTGGAGGATATTAAGTTAGTGGTTGCAATTGTCGTCAATCGATTTTTCCGTCAAGCAACAATAAAGTTAAAGTGCGATATAAGGAAAAATTATTTTAAAATAATTTCAACTAGAAGTGAACTTGAAGAAGAACCAGCTGACATTCACAATGGAAAATGAATCTGTCATATCGGCCCGAAGTGACAGATCAAGATCATCGCACCATTCTCACCACAGAAATTCAAGCAACAGAGTTCAACAGTATTACAACAGAACAAGAAACAGTCGAGCAGGTGTGTCAGGTGATGCCTTACTTCGCTACCCTGTTGAATCAGAGCAACCAGAATACAGGGACGACAGATCAGCTGTTAGTACGTCGGGGAGGCTATCTAAACGGCACAACAAGCATGGGGGCATGATGATGTCTGAGTTTATTCCAGAAAGAAGGTCTCTACGTGCTTATGAAGATCAGTGTGACAATGTTACAGTCATTACAGGGGCCACTAGTGATTTTGTCTATTCAATGGATGATTTAAATAAAGATCACGAATTTAACAGTCAAAAGAAAAACTCATTTTCACATCGAAAAATATGCAACAAGTTCATTTCATTTATTACTATTTGTTTTGTGGTCCTGCTTTGTTTATCATCATTTTTCTCACCTATCCTCATGTTACTGCTTCCAAAGTTGCCAATGATTAGTTGGGAGATAGACCTATGTGATCCAGAATGCGAAAGTGCTTTTCTGGGGATCGGCTTCAAACTTTTGATTCTATTAATTGCCACCTGGGCTCTATTTTTTCGTCGTTCAAGGGTTAATTTTCCAAGGTTGGACCCAGGAAGAACGCTCATAGTATTCATAACGTTTCTACTAACGTTTTCATTCTGGCTCTTTTATGGTATTCGATTATTTCAAAAGCCTGATGTAACTTATTTGGGAATCATATCATTTACAACATCACACATTGATTCATTGCTCTTTGTACACTATCTGTCAGTCATCATCCTAGAAATTAATCATCTCCAATGTCGATTCGCAGTAAAAATAGTTCGTTCGCCAGATGGCCACTCAAAGACTTACACAGTGGGAAAGATGAGAATTCAGAATCTAGCTCAGTGGTGCCTCGATAAGTACTATACAGATTTCCAGTCTTACAACCCCTACTTAGAAATCAGCAGTATTAAAAAAAATTCCACGTCATCTGGACCCCCCACTGCCTTCAAGTTGTACAACCTAGATGGCGCACCAACTGGAGAAAGTGAGGGGGGCAATGGTAACAACAATAATGGAGGTGGCGCTGCTGGTGGTAAAACTTTTTCTGTTGTTTCTTCATCGGTAGCCGGGGGAAGAGTTGGACATAACGACAGGTACTATGGGGAAATCGAGCAGGAGAAGAGGGTGTCGAGGAGGAGGTCAAGGTTGATGATGGCTGCTGAGGAGGCATTCTCCCATGTCAGGAGGATTAGAAATAGTAGAGGTTCAATTTGGGATTTCATGATTGCCACTTTTTTTTTTGACTTTCATCAGTTTTTGTTGTAATGAAAATTAATTAATTTATATGTAAAATTTTGTGTTCATTATCACCAAAATAAGTAAATGTCTATCTAGGGATTTACGTTTCATCACTTAAAAATGTATCAATTTTTGTACGAATTAAAACCAATTCGTGTAAGATTTTTTTCTAAATATCATCAAAAAAAAAACCACACCTCAGTTTGCCAGATGACGGAAGTCACGACGACATCCACGATGTCTGCCAGGGAAGCGGCTCAGGCCATATTTCCTACGTTAGTCCGACCTCTGCAGAAATACTTGCGCATCACTAGACAGCAGCCCAAGTACAACATGGAAGACGTCGTTGGGCACCTGACTCGCTGTATTAGTTACGAGCTGTCTTACAAGGCTTTCCTCGAAAGATATTTATCACAGGTTTGTAGTGGTGCTAGTTGCAGTTGTTGTAGTAGTGTTGGTTGCAGTTGTTGTAAGTAGCGGCAGTGGTAGTGGCTGTAGTAGCGACAGTGGTAGTGGCAGCAGTAGGAATTGTTGCTTCTTAAGTCATTGTACTGAAATATTCAAATTCTTTACTTGCTTATGGTTGTTACTTCAAGTGTTTTAACACTGTCTTATTGTCACAGCATTCATAGATAGAAAAACATCTTTTTATTCAAGTTTATATTTTTAAGTTTCATCTACTACCATTACTACTGCTGCTACTACTACAACTACATCTACTACAACTGCTGGTATAATTACTAATGTAATTTTCATCTGACAGAATGAAGTAGCGTTTGTGAATGATGATTGGATTTTGAGGACCAAACAACAGCAACAACAACCAAACGATGGCAACAACACAAAATCAGCTAACATCAAAAGTAAAAAATCTCAACATTCTTGGGTGATCTCTTGTGAGAGCCTCCTAAATAGAATGATTAGTGAAGATGGCTGCCATTTTAAACTGGGTAGGGATGTGCTTGGAGGCGAATCGTTGTTCATCAGTGTACAGAAACTGCCATTCTATGATATTATGGAAGAGCCTGTTAATATTAAGATGCAGAGATTTAACTTAGATATGAACGTTGAATTGTCTGTTTGAGTTGTTTGTGTGCGTGTGTGTGTGTGTGTGCGTGTGTGTGTGTGTGTGTGTGGATATAAAAGTTAATATTTTTTATAAATCTATACATTTAAATATATACATATTTATATATTTCCCTCTTTGTTTTTTTATTTTAATAGTCCATAAAACATTTATTTGTCTTCTTGTTGTTATCTTTCACGTGCATACATACATTCATACACACATATACACATACATACGTACACACATATATACGTACACATACAAACATACAGACACATACATACATGCTAGCATGTTTAAATCCATCATATTATCATGATATTGCCTTTAACATTATATATCTACAATATTAATCATACAAGGACCAGTTTTTTTCTACGTTATGAATAATTAGTAATTAATATTATTCTATAATTAATATTATTTTATAATTAATATTATTCTATAATTAATGTTATTTTATAATTAATATTATTCTTTAATTAATATTGTTCTACAATTAATATTGTTCTATAATTAATGTTATTTTATAATTAATATTATTCTATAATAAATATTATTCTATAATTAATATTATTCTACAATTAATATTATTCTATAATTAATATTATTCGTATTATTATTATTGATGAAAGCGTTTTTAACATTAAGAACTTTTCTTATCTGCGAATATGTCTATATTTGTATACTCATAAATTTTTATATGTATATATTTTTAATTGACATGCGGATTGAATGATTGATTGA